CGGCTTATCGACTTCTTGAGAAGAATTCTAAGAAGAAAGTAAACCTACAGACATCGGTCTTGTTTAACAAAAACCATTATATATATACATGCAACTTTAACATAGAGAGTTATCATACATAAAAAAATGCAATCATTCTTAATACAGGTCAAATGCCCAAATGTCAAGGAAGATCCTTGACAAACAGGGCTGAGATAACAAGGTTTTTATATATCACTCAAAATTGTGATGCTGTACTTATCATGCTATTTCACATAAAGTTCAATATCTACAGATAAACAATACAACAAAAAATGCCACTTGTTTTTTTAAAGAGTACATAGGACAAAACTGCTGTGTAATAGTAGAAATCAGAGTAGTGAGCTTTGTGTTTTATATGACTTTTGATCTGAATGAAATCATCTAGGAGACCAGATATAAAATTTGACAAGTTGAATCTGATAAAAGGAAAGAAATGTACAAAAGATATTTGCAAGTATCCTATACAATTTGGAAAGAAAACAACTTGTAAGGTGTTGAGTAGTGGTAGACCTTTATTAAAAATACTCAGTAATTACTACTAAATATAGTTTTTATTCTCATGTAAAGAATAACATTTCCATGTCTTCATACAAATTTAAAAAACTTTTAAAGTGTTATCAAAAATGAAAATTTATAAAATTTATGAAGGTAATATTAATAAAATATTTTTTATGATTAATTCAGGTGATAACTGTAGCTATTTAATTAATTTTTCCCACCATGGACTTCACAATACTATAAGCTTTTATCACCAAGAGATGTTCAATGACAAGCAAATGTCTTTCAAGGCATTAAGATTCCTAGGAGTTTTAACACGTTAAACTTCTACTTGAAGGTAACACTACCACAGTTTGCAAAATAAACACTAGTTTTATGAGTAGATAGGTTAATAACACACACACATAGATAGTTACACCATCAACATGCCATTAAGTGTCTCCCTCAAACAACTTATTGCAAGGATATTTAACAGGTGGACTGTTAATAAATTTTGAATGAACCTCTAAATCATGTGTATTTTTTTATCTTTTAAATTACTTTCACACTGGTATTTTTGAACAATACAGAAAATAAATGTATTAATACATGTGCGATCTAAATACAGTATATACAAGTTAAAAGGTCTGAAACAAAAGCACATTTTTAATATCTCTCAGTAAACAATAAAAAATGTTGAAAGTTATTAATATTTTTTGTATTGGCCTATCTATATAAAGTATTGATTTAAATGTACTCAAAAATAGTATTGTATGTTTAAGTTAACAGGAGTCAGCACAGCTGCTAAAATCAGATATAAGATATGATTAAAATAATATATTACCAATCCATCATAGTTTTAAATTTTAACATAACACAATATTTTGAAATAAAAATTTCAAAATATAGCATTAACACATTTTTAGGTATTCACAGCCTAATTTTAAAAGATTGCTATACATTTATATTATCTAACAGATGGAGTTAAGAGGTTTCAAAGAAGAAAAAATCACATAATAGTAATAGTTTTAATCCTCATCTGGGAAGGGATTACTATATTTCACTTGTTATTTGATTTGTTGTCTATATGTGTGTGTGTCCAATTTAACTAAAACTGTACAGTAATGGAAAACATGGTTGATACTTCAAAACTCGGGTCAGTACGAAGGTTAATCAGTAGCTTTTAGTTATCTGAATGGGGATTTCTAGTAGTAATTACATCTTGTGACCTCTTATTTGGTACAATGGTGACTCTATAGACCATAAAAACGATTCACTAGCTTGAAGCTGGTTGAATGGGAATCATATCTATATACTATATTAAAGGGTAATTTTAATCATGTTGTGTGACTTAAGAAAGTAACTTTTTGTATCAACCACTTCGTAGATAAATATATGAAGAATAAGGCAGTTTAACACGAGGAGTTTCTCGTTCTGGCAACTTTTTTGATATTAGAAACAAAATCCAACTTCTTAGGATAACTGAAATCATAAACCACTTGTCATCCTATCTCTAAACATAGATTAACACCCAGTGGGGTAACACCCAAGATTTAAAACATTACCTAAATATTCTGTCATCTCATTAGCATGAGAAAGACCAGATTTCTCATAGTTAAATATATGAATCCATAACAGGGTCACAGACTTTTAAGCTAAACCTGTATTAATACAACTCTGTTGTTACGTCACCTGATAACTTAAAAAGGTAAAACTTGAAAGAGTTCATTACATCTGCATTTGTTAAATCAAAGAATTAATACCTGAAAATCATATTCTGTTTGAAAGAATGTTCCCACAACTAAATTACAATTAGCCCTTTTTCTATGTATTCAATACTACTTTTATAGATTATCACTTATACAACCCTGGGTTAAAATAGAGTTTGTTGCTCCAACCTCGATAAAGTGTTTCTGTAGCCTGCTTTTCTCCACAATCAGTGACTCTTTCCTTGACTATCTTATCAACCTGAAACAAACCAAAACTCTTTCTAAATAACAGAATCTATTTACAAATATATTGTTTTTCTCAATACAAATCACATTTCTGGTAAATTCACCTACAGAAAATTTGCAGCAATCAACACATCTTAAAATTACAGTTTTGAGATTGATGGTGTAAATTTCTGTGTAGGGCCTATGGGTCAATAACTTAAATATAAGTTTGAAGATACTGTTAGCTGTTACTTCTGATTACTCCTTTTTCCAATACTGTTGTTAAGCACAAAACTGAAAATTGTTTATCTGTGTTCTGCAAACCACAGGGTTGAAACTTAAATTTTAGTATTATAAGCCTACAAACTTATCACTAAGACACAAGGGGTACTTGTTACTCTAAAGTACTATATTTTAAAATGGTAAATACTTGATAAGTAGTCAGGAGTGAGTACATTCAAATGATGCAAGTTTATAATGTAAATATAACACATATTTTAAAAGTATAAAATTGCCTTTACTGTAAAAGAGTACAAAGTTTTTTAACTATCAAAATTACAACATTGATATTTTATACAACCATGTTCGACAGATTATTTTAAAATGTGAAAGCATTCTGCTTTGGAAAATTCCCACATTTTTTCTATATTTTATTAGTTCATTGTTTTACATTTTTCCATTTTTTTATGTAATTAGTTCCTGAATCAATTAAAGAGAATTTTGAAGATACAAAGATTGAAACTTTTAATCACCAATTTAACAGGCAGGCTGTCTATTTAAAAAAAATTTCAACTGTGCACTACATTCTGTCTTTTGAATCTTGTTTTAATCACAAAGTTTAATTTGTAATAAAAAAAGACAAGCAATTTAAATGCCTGTTGTTGGCATCTATAGGAAAAAGTGCAATAGTTATTGCAGAAATGAACAAATAGCTAAGAAATAGTAGAGGAAAATGGTTTATAATTGTTGTTTGTTTTCCCCAAAAGATAAGTGAGGAAGAAATTATCAATTCCTCACTGTACAGGGTTTTCATTAGATGCTGAGTAAATCAACCAGCAACTTTGGCTAAAATACAACTCATTTGGCTGACTACTTTGGTTTTGTATTACTTATTCAGAATCACTCACTGCAACCTTTTGAGTATCTCTATGAAGCTTATGAGCAAGTGTGAAGAGAAGAAAGTATTATCACATGTCACATACCCACATATTCCCACTGGATGATCAATGTATGCACTTAGTGCGCATTTTCTGCTCATACACGTATAAAGGAATACAATTGTATTATTACTGATTAAATTAATAAATTGTAACTCACACAAAAGTAAAACATTTTAAAAACTTAATGACTAGTTTTGCCTACTTCAGAGGCATTGTCTGAGTGAAAGAAAGAACAGAATTATAGTATTTATTGAAAAGATGTTAAAACACTCTGAGTGCAAATATATAATGTAAATTAATATATTTATTATATTATCAAGCTGTAATTTCCATTTGTTCTTTTGAAGAGAGTAGAGAAAGTGCAGGAACAAGTTTCTATGATAATCTTTATTTTCTATATTTTTCTAGGGAATATGCCCCACACCCTCCGGTCCTTTTACTACGGGTGGGTAGATTCCACTCAGTCTGTATCCCCCAAAGTAACCATAAAGCAGTTATATTGTAACTTTTTAAATTGTATATGCTTCTTCATAGAATTTTTCAGATTATTAGTAAACCTTACAAGACTTTTGTACATAAAGTATCATAGTTTTTTAATTAAGTTTTAAGATTTTTTAGTTAATGATTTTCTTGTGTATTATTTATTATCGAATGTTCACTATTCAACATGCAAAGTAATTTTGATTTTAAAATTAAAAATACTTTTATGCATCAGAAAATTGTCAAATTTCACATGCAAAATCTCTATAACCTCCACATAATTATCAAAATTAAAAAAAAAAACAAAAAAAAACGATATATTTCATATGTTATTTTCACTATTGTATCACTGTATGGGTTTGGTTAATTTGGCCAATCTTGTAACCACCATACAAAATTAGGAAACAGATCTAAATTATGCTTTTTTTCATTCTAGAATGACTACAGATTGTAACATTAAACCACAAATGTTTAGTCAAAATAGTTTAAATCTCATTACATTATACAGCTATATATATTTATTATTTTATTGACCTTTCAGCTCTGTCTGACTAACATTAAAGAAGTTGCACTCATGTTAACATATCCAATAGTATAAAACTGGCCTTTAGAAACTGACCTGTCTTGGCTTTGTTCTAGTGGACCAATATTTTGTAAAATACAGTCACATTTCAGTTATAATACATTATATATGTATGTATGTTATTACTAATTCCCAATAAGTTCTAAATTTCAGTTACTTTTTTCTTAAAACATAGAACAGTAAAAAAAAGAAGTATAGAAAACAATGATCTCTTCTACTTATGAACTTGTTTGCTGCTTACTGTAATTTGCTAAGCCTTGTAAAATTTCATACATGGAAGATGTCAAACCAAATCTTTTTAGGGTTTGTACATGCTTTTTGAAATAACAAAAAAATCATAAATTACTATATCAGTATCACAAAATTCCACTATAATTTATCAGGCTTAGTAATTAAGCTGTATTTGAGTCTAAAAACAAATACCATAAAATACTATAAAAAGAAAGGGTTCTCCATTCAAACACTTTGCAGAGGTTGAAAAAATACATGGGGGACATTCTGAGCTTTCAATTGGTTATACACACATCATTGGTCAAAGTAGGTGTACATAAGTAAATATTTTAAAAAATTGAAGAGGTGGGCGGTTGATTCATTAAATGTAATAATATGTCAGAAAATTAAAAAAATAGGTTCTTATCTTATATTCTGGCTTGCCAATATTGGTAATTTGAGTTTCTAATTCGTAAAAAACTATAGACTTTGTATTTGGACATCACAAACATCTAATTTGAACCAAAGCTGCATTCAACATACCACATGACACACAAAAAACATCAATATTTAGGATTATTTTTAATATTTATTTTTAAATTAAGAAATTAACTAATGTATAATACTAAAATCTGAATTATAATCTAAAATTTGATACCTAACTTATTGACATATATTCATTAACTCTCTCTGCCAAGGCATCATTTACTGCGCATGTCACGAGGATTTAGTGACTTACATTCAAAATTTTATTCAACTACTTTTTGTTTATGTTATACCAATTAGTATAGCATAAAATTGTAGCTAATAATCCATATTTTGATAATATACAAGTCTTATAATCTTAATTTTATAAGGCAATATTTAAAAAATCCTGAATTTCCCCTAGTATGAGAAAGATTTTAGTAAGCATCCAATTTTCTCTATTTTATTCACCACCCCTTCAATAATTAAGAAATTTAATGTAAATTACTCACTATAAAGTCATCTTTGCTCAGACAAACCATAATTTTTATAGCTTTCGATTTTGTTTGGTTACAGAGCCATCAAATAGAAAATCAGACCCTTCTTGTCACACCCACCTGTCACATCCTCTCTTTCAAGATTTGTTAATAGTTCTCCCTTATATTTATTCTACATCATCTATAACCAATAAAAACCCAAGGTTTTCATCTATCAAACGATGTATTATATTACCTTATGTTCTGAACAGAGAATTGTCAATTTCTCTTTTAGTACAAGCTTCATTCCCACAGAAAAGTTAATGACTAGCTTGGACGAATTTGTAACGGCTCTTGTCACACAGTTAGAAAGCCAGAAATATTGTGGTAGTTTGAGGAAATTGTCTGTTTTTTGCACGTTATTATTCTATGTTCTTTGGTGTATTATTTAATTAAATTAAAATTATTTAATGCATTACTACCATTAGTATAAAAAAAGTAGGGTTAAATGTCATAAAGAGTTGACAGCATAAAAAAAAAAGAAAAAGAAGACACAGGTAACTTTTCTTGTTTTTCATGTTTATACTTTATTTATTATTATAAAAGTAACTAAAATGTAAAAAAAAGGATCTCTTTAGGTTAGATTAGGTAAAATAAATAATAATATTTTGCAAGGGATGCACTTAAGCAGCTCGTGGGTAACGTAATTCGATAACATAATGTGAGCTGCATGTTCCCCCAAGTGATTTACTTATAATGCCATGAATAGTAGTTAGACACAGTTTGAAGTGCAATAAAACAATAAAACTTAATTATAAGTAGATGTATATTATTAGGAGTTTAAAGCTACTTCAGATAAATGATTGTAGTTTCTTGTTACAATTTGAAGTCATTCTAGAAAGAAAAAAGAGGGTAATTTAGATTTATTTTAGTGGATACGAGGTCAATCAAATTGACATACCTCGTATAGAGTTAGGGTAGAGAAAATAACAGATAGGATATAAAGTTTTACTGAAAACAAATCTCTGAAATGTACTAGGGAGGTTTTACAGATTAAACAAATCAAATCGGAGATTTTTGATATGAAGAAAACTATTTATATCTTAACATGAAAATCACTTTGCACACAGACTGTTTAAAACAAATACTCAATATATTCATGGACAAATCTTTTTTTAGTTTATTAGAAATACTTCACTAAAAAATATGATTTCTTTTAATGTGAAAGACTTATAATATTATCTGAAAGACTGCCAAATTTTGTGAGGATATACACACTATATTAGAAGTTAGTAGTATCAAATCTATAAAGTCTTTAAATAAGTACAAACAAGTCATATGGTCAGTCAAATCAACTAAGCCCATATTGAGAGAGTTAAATAGTAGTTCAATAAAATCTTGAATGTTAATCTACAAACATAATGATATGCCTTTTAACCCCTGACCATAGGAAGACCCGTTGAAGTAGGGCTAGGGGGATCACACATAAAAGAACAATGTTGGGCCTTCATCCCAGGATATACTTCACACAACAGGGTTAACTCGTACTTTAGAAGTATCATCCACCTACTATTAAAAATAATGAAAACCCTCCATATATCCAGCTCTCATCCATGATCTGAGTAATGAACGTACTGGTTAGAGTTTGATGACAAAATGAATAATAATATATTGAAACCTGAAATAACATAGTGCACACAAAACAATTCACACACTATTTTTCTCATTCATATATTAACAGAAAATTCATAAAAAATTTTTAAATAAAGAGAAATTTAATAAAACCTAGCAATTAGTGTATTTCTCTACACTAACAAAACAAGTAAATTGTCAAGAATGTTTTAAACTACCAAATCAGTATTTATTTTCAGCATTACGATCATATACATAAAAAATGCACTTAAAAAACATCTAAAAACTACTACCTTTAAAAGCATGTGGGTAAGTTCTACATCATGTGCATGAGTCATCAAAACACTGGCCAGAGCCTGGCAGTACCATGAGCCAAATATGTTGTTTCGAAGTGAAATATATCCTGAAATTAAAATACAAAAAACTTGCAAGTACAAGTTAATGAAATAAATAATCCAGAAATCAACAACATGAAAATTCTGCATTATCAATAGGAAATAATAAAATGTTATGATAATATTTTAATTACTGGCCACTGTTGGCTTCTACTAAGTACAGCATAGAATAGCATTTTAGCTACACATTGTTTTACATCGTTGCCTATAAGTCTTTTCACTCGATATCTATTCTCATATGGGTGATTGGGTTATAAGATACACAATTTAGTTGAAATGCTATTTTATCAGTTATTTGCAACATATCAAGTCTTATGGTTTATAACACTTAAACCAGCAAAATAAGATTTTTTTTTCAAATTAAGAATTGTGATGAAACACCATAATAAGATATTAACAAAATGATTTATTTTAAATACCTCACACTTAACAGACCCAAAATGTGTTTTCACTAAGTGTGTATATAGTATTTTAACCATATTTGAGATGCAGTATGCTGCCACTGACAAAGCTTTCACTTAATCCAGAGATATGGTACCAGGTCAGCTGGGTTACAAGTGCAACATACAAGATTTCATTGACTTAATATTCTTATCACTCACTTAGAACAGAAATTTTTAGCTTGAGGCCCAAAAGACCTTAGACACACTAGCTGATGACCTCCAACAAATGAATTAATAGAAATTTGAATATTAGAACTCTGAGGTGTGTTGCAACTTGCATTTAAAAAAAAATTCAAGCATAAACAGCATTGTTTAGTCATATTTATTGCAATAAATATGTTTTGCTAAAAAATATTGCTTTGTCCATTTACAGGAAAGTTTTAAAGAACCTATTTCTATGTGTGCTGAAACACCCAAGACTGTTTCATAAACCCTAGTTTGAGAACCTTTGACTCAGAAGACATCAAAGTTTATATTTTTAGATTCTACACTAGTTAAATCTGATCTCTTCTTTAAAGCTTAAAGTGTAACAAAACTTCACAACATATGTTAGTTGTAAATTAGATGACCTGATGAATTTGGTAATGAAAGGAAGGCCTCATCAACAACCTGTTAAAGGCATTATTCATCACAAAATTTGATATCTCATAAGTGAATGGTATAAACAGTGCTTCAACTATGATTTTGTATATTGTAGCATGTACTGGGGTTTTAGTATGTTCTAAAAAATAACATTTTTAATGAACTTTATACATAATTGCTAACTATAAAACACTGCAAGCTCATTTTGTGTGTCACAAAATGTTTTCTTAATTTTCAAAGTGACAATCAAAATATTTAACAATGGTTATATGTATTCATGATTTAACAGTTACAAAATTCTTACCAGCTATAGTGGAGTATGATATTAACATATCTGTCCAGGTTGGTAAACGGCGAATTACAGTCTCAGCAGTATATGGTATCTTTGCTATACCACCTTGTTGAGATAGCTTGGCATCAGACTGATTATACTTTGAAACTCCTATATCATAATTTTCTAATATATATATATAAACAAAAAAAAAAAAAAAGAAAGAAAAGTAAGACTGTTAAACTTATACATTAATATTTGTGAATACATGAGTACATACAATTTCTATGGGTCAAATCATAATACCAACTCTTTTTAAAATGAGGACACCAATTGCAACGTGCTGTTTCTTAATTGAAAACATATACATTTACTATCTATTGTTTCTGAAGGGAGGACATACAAATGTAACATGTACTATTTCTTAAGTGAGGTCATACACATGTAACATATACCATATCTTAAGTGAGAAGATACTATATGTGTAACAAATTTAAGACTTTTCGAAACCCAAGAATGTAACAACCTATATAGGATTTTTTAGGAATCTGCAGGAACCCCGGTACTGTTTCTTAAGTGAAGAAATACGAATGTAACATGTACTCTTTCTTAAATTAGGACAAAATTGGCCACAATATGTACTTTTCTTAAATAAGGATGTACATATGCAAGATGTACTATTTCTTAAAAGAGAATGAATAAATCTAATAATTGAAGAATTTAGCAAATAACTAAGTAGAAAAATGCTAAATTGATAAAATAAAGAAATTAGACTTTTAGAGAAAAATCACCTTTAAAAACGATGGTAGTAATTTATTTACCTGTCAAAATTTTAAGTAAATGCTCTTTTTCAAGCCAGAAACAAGCCTATAGGTTAATGACAATTTCAGGAACGTTCCATTTCTTAAATGAGATGTATGTAGATTATTACTCGTTTATAAATTATTATCTTTAATAAAGAATATAAGTCAATGTGGTATACTGAAGTTATCAAAGTAAATGGTCATTTACAAATTTTCTGCATACATAATCCACAATGGGTCTTTGTTAAAAATGCATTACCTATCTCAACAGGGTTTTCACATTCTCTCAAAAAACAATGTCTGCAATTTTCCAAGCAGAATTTCATATTTTCCAGACATGAACTGTGCACATATTTTACCTGATATTCCACAATTGTGCTTAATTAACACTATTTAGCTTGTAATATGGATATAAACAGTAATAAAACTTCAGTACATACTTACTTTAGACTAAAGTATTACAGAAAAAGAACTTTAAACAAAGACATTGCAAGATGGTGGTTGACAATATGAAAGAATATTTGAACCAATCTGTTATCAAATATAATGAATTAGACAATTATCACCATATGAAATAACAGTGACTGACCAAGATAATATTCAAAGTTAACATTTTTTTACACTGAAAATGTATTTCCGATAGGTACTTTCTTCTTTTCACACAAAGATATTTCAATCTTCTTTCTGCTCCTACATACTGCTAAAATATTTTTCACACTCAGCAGACCAGTCTATATATATAGCATGTGATCACCATTCACATGCTATATACATGTTCATAAGCATGTGATCACAATTCACCAATAGTATTGCATCACCTATATTGGCACAGTTATCTCCCTCTGATTTTCCTGCTAAATCCTCACTTTTGAGATTGGCAGGATCTAATATGAATAACACAGGCACTGGGGAGGAAGAGTGAGAAGTACCTATCGGAAATACATTTTCGATGTAAGAAACTGTTACCTTCTGATACAGTCTTACCTCCTCTCACGCAAAGCTAGAATCCTACACTGAAAAGGTGGAGGGGGGCCAGTGTAGGCTCCTAACAGTGAATCCAAGTGGAAAGCAACCACCTAGATATAACTAGTGTGCTCAGAGACAAAACTGAAGCACACATGCAGAGCACCACACTACTACTTTGCCTTGTAAGAAGGAAATAAACCTGATAAAAGTGGAAAAAAGAATAGATGTACACAAGCTTAATTCATTCTGAGAGTTACAAACTATAGCAAAAAAATAGTGCGAGTTCAAATCATCCTCCATCACACAAAACAGACAGCTTCTGTAGGTAAAGATCCACTCAATGAAACAAAAACTGGAAGCAAACTTGATACCCAAACAAGGAGAAACAGCAAGTCAAGGGACAGTTTGTTGAAATATAATGATGGAGAAAACATCTAGCCATGGCTAGGTATCAACCCAACTTGAACCAGACAGAGCAGGTTCTACAACCCATCCTCAGTATTAGGAGGTTGAGGATCTCCCAAATAAAAATAAAATGAGAGGCTCATTAACATTGTGGCTAGGGCATGTGGACTGTATGATATTACATACACCAACCCCAACCGTAAGTAAACAGTGTGTCATAAATCAAGCAACTGGAGTTACAAAGAGGAAGTTTGCACTCGGACAAAACCAGACCAACTCCCAAATCCACCATAGAAGCAAGGAGTACAACAATCCAAACCCAGCATTATGGGGTCGTGTCATTGCCCCAACTCAACCAAGAGAACAGGGCAATACCTGTAACCAGTATTAAGAGCAAATATCGTAACTCACACAACCATACATGCAGGGAAGACATATCCTACACCTAGAATAACTAGGAAGATATGGAACATTTGCTCAACAGTAGGAACAGTGTACATACATCCTGTTGCCAGTATTATGAGGCAGATGAAGTCCCCCAAACTCAACTGTAGGAGCAGGGAAGAAAACCTCTTGCAACCAGAGTTAATGAGAGGGGGCTCTACTGCACTCAACCATGGGAACAGGGTGGTGTCATCCTGAACCTGGCATTACAAGGAGGATCCCATGTAGGCTAGTTCTGCTCCAACTGACAATAAGTGTCCAGAGAAAAGGGAAGGAGGAAACCCAGTTCTACCTTCTTCTCAATGAGTGGATAAATGTGTTAATGTATTGTAAGTTTCTATTTCACAGAAGGAAGCCTCCTTGATCCACCATTCCAGTGACTGGGAACTAGTAAGGACTCCTGTGCTCCACTTGAAGAATGAAAAAACAAGGAGGGGGATAAATGCAGTGGGGACTCCAGAGGACCATCATACTGAAGAAAGTGCAATGGGCATCCACGATTTCCTATTTTGAAAAGCAGACTATCCCCGATTTATGCAATCAAAGGAATGGCTGAGAAATCCCCTTTTGCTTTACTCATGATAGTCCATGAGTGATAGTTCACCATTGAGTTAAATTGATAGATACCTAGACACACACATGAGCATATCCCACTAAGCATGCCAATAGTGGTCTTGCAGAACACCCCATCTCTACAGTGAATATTACAGCTCTAACAGTATACAGTATGTGTTTGAGTTAAAGCACACCTGAACAGGCAACACTTTCTTCAGAGTGGGATCCTATTAGTAGCAGTAAAAGAGGGTCCTTGAAAAGAAAACATAAATGTTGTTTAAATACATGTCCAAGTAAAAGGTGAATGTGTAGAATCTCCATAGGAGGGAGACGATATCCACCCAGGAAAGATACAGCCACAAACATACCAAAATAAGAAGATGCCAGAAAAATGAACCCAAATTTCTTTCACCTTAATTGTATTCATTCTCAGGAACATTGTCACGTTGAAAATGAGAAGTAATTGTACCTGATGATGACAAAACCTTGTCGAAACGTTGTACATTTGCTGTTATATTAAAGTTTTTCTTCATTACCCATTCAAGCCGTCTCCAGCCATTATTAATAACTGATTTAGCTAAATGGCATGACTTGGATGCATGCAAGTTCCAGGATAATTAAAGCTAAGGAGGTCCATCATATTTCCGACATTTCCAGGTTTTGGTTAAATTTTTCCCGCTCATATATCAACAGTTACATGTACCAAACATTAACCATTCACAAATATATATTTAACAATGAAAACAAAACAACAGGAAATCAAAATATATAAAAATTAACAGGCTGACATAATCATATGTTAATGATGTCAGAAAACAGGTTCAGGAAGTCTTATAAAATGATAAAAACCCTATAACCCATGCACTTTCGAAAGGTAGACCTTTCTTCTTCAATTTGCCCCCAAAGTGTTTGGGGTTACATGGTTTTTATCATTTTATACTTTTATGTTAAATATTTATAATGAAGCCCTAAGAAATACTTTACATTTTAGTCTTAACCTTTGATCTGAACACTAGCCCTCTTACAAGAAAGAAAGAAAAGAGATAAATCTTATATTTGTGATAAACTAATATAATATTTTAAACAAAAATTACCTTTGCTTGTTCAAAATACAAAACATCTAACTTTAACAACAGACAACTAGCTGGCAAACTTGATATACCTTTGTTATTCAACATGAATTGCTCACAGTATCATATGGGAGCAATATACAGAGGTTGAGTATATTATATTAAAATGATTTTAGAATTTACCATCTAATTATAGTTCATGTTGCCACATCCATTCATGGCCTACCTGATGACTGAATCTTGACAATAGCCCTGAAGCATAGTTTCCATTGCAAAAGGTTCTTTCAAAAGGCTATCATATACACAGCCCACTACTTCTCTCTCCATGTTTTCTGTAATCCACCTAGCCTATGAGGAAGATAGTTTCAATAATCAGATCACACAGAAATTTGTAGATGCTACATCTGGTGACTTGACTGGTATGTCTATATATGAAGTAGCATGAATATCAATATCATCATTCTTGAGGTATGCATGAATGGATACGTTGTGGAATATGCTTGTATAAATGTGACTTATGTTGCTTTTCCAGATGGAAATATTTCTTGATCATGTTGTGTAATGTATCTTAGGACATGTGGATGACTTACCACTGACTCACATATTACAAGATGCTCCACTTTGCTTACCACAATTGGGGTAGGTCTTTTTGAAGGTCTCTTTATGGAGAGTGCAGGTGACCCAGGTTAATCTATGTTGTTTTGTTTTTCAATATTATTAAGTACAAGAGATATCCCTATCTTGGAAATTGTAAATCCCTTATCTGAACACAATTTTAGGATCTGAGTGTGCAAGTATTTTTCATTAGAAGGGCTGTTGCATACCTTTTTCACAAGTAATCCACTTTGATGGAATTGCACAAACATAACACAATGTCAAAATTTAATTCTGGTGCATACCATTCTACTATGACTTTCTATTGGCTGTGACTGTCACATTACTT